TCCCATCGTGGTAATTGAGTTAACTGAATACAAGTGTCAGAGTGTGTAACTGTGGCAGTGTAGCAAAAAGTAAACCACGTTTCACCCGCGTCGCGAATTGATCTCAAAATATTCGGAGCGCAACGTATACCTGGTCCTTCCAATGGGTATATATATATATTATCCAATGGAATCGTAGATGTTCCATCATGGACCCTGTAAGATCCATGACGATCGTCGACCTCTCGTCCGATCCTCAGTGATCGGAGGTGGTTCGCGAGAACCGACGGCTTCAGCAAGAGCTCAGTGCCTTGGATGACGAAGGCTTTTGGGAGGACGGGGAACCGGTGGAGAGATCAAGGATGAATTCGAAGGGGGAGAATCATGCAAATCAACGGCTTGTGTCCTGTGTTGAGCATCACATACTTCTAGTTGCGTCATGTTTTGTCGAACAGCATCCCTGAGCGTGACCATTTCTTTTTTTGCCCACCGGATTTGCGTGTATGTGCTTGTTGGCTTGATGTTTGAGGTCCAAAGCATTGGGGGGGATGCTTCTCTTTTCGCTCGCATCGGTTTTGTTCCAACTGGATCTTTGCCACACGGCCGTGGGCCATACCCGGCCATCCTCCTCTCTGTGCTGTTTGCACAGGAGATTCAGCAGCTCCAGAGGCGTAACGAGCAGGTGGGGCACGGTGGCGGTGGGTGCAGCAAATTCACAAAACCGTTGGATTTCGGGAATCATCGGTTGGATTGGCGAACTGTTGTGGTCTTCTGTGAAAAGGACCACGTGCTGCGTCCTTGTTTGGCTTAAAAAGGAGGGTGACATACGTGTGCATGTCTTTCTAACGAGCTTAAGTCGAACGTTTGGGCGATGGATGAGATCGGAGTGCGGGTCACTTCACCTTCAGGCTGGCCCTCATGGGCCTTGCCTGTCAAAGATGTCACGCCCAGGTTTTTCAGTCAGTGAACATTCAACAAACTGCTCGGACTTCACAGGAGCATCCACCGAAGCTAGGCTATGGGGCTTTGTGACTTGAAGGGGTCTTAGAGTGTTCCATAGGAAGCAGTTTCTTGGAGTCAAAAGGTGGCAGTATAGCATTGTATAGTAGAGTAGTATTGAACTTACTGCCGCCCAGCCTAGCAGTAGAAACTCCTTCACTCTTCGGCTTGTCTGCCCTGTTCTTCGAGGCAGCGAGCCTGGCGCGCGAGAGCAAGGAGGTACTGGGAAGTTGGGAAGCGACCATCTGCAGTGTTTGGAGCCGATTCGAACCAAGAGAGGTTAAGTGACCTTATAGGACCTTACTGCGGTACCTATGGGAAAGGCATGGATAGGCTATAGGGTCCTTCAACCTCTGTTGGAAGTGTTGATTGCTTGCAATTCGGATTCTCCAACATCAGGGTCACCACAGGGAAGACTGCCAGGGTGGGGGGGAAGACGCGTGTTGCGGCCAAAACGCTGACGTGGCGCACCGCTCAGACAAGGCCGGTGTTCGAGGTAATGTAGATTTTCCGTGTTGAAAAAACACCATTGGGGCCTAGTTCACTCCTCCAATGCGTGTTTGAGTGCCATAGATCAAAAATTGTGTCTTTATTTATAATATATTCAATAAGTTATTTCTTGTCATTTCCATTTTTACTGAATCGTGAAATCAGGTCTTTGTTATGTTTATTCCAAGACAAATGGAATAGTACTGGAATACACTGGATGTTCCAATCTCTTTCATTTCTCCTATTGCACGTCTCGACACGTGTTTGAAGCTTTAAACACCGCTTGGACCGCCACGTGCTGCACCTGCCGTGCACCGTTGGGCCTCCGCAGCTCCAGGCGTTGGAACACTTGGCGCCCGCGGCTGGTGCGCTGGACTTCACTGGGCTCATCGTTGGACACCCGGACCACTGCCGCGGGCACGGAGCGAAGAAAACGGGGAACCGGGCGGCCGCTTTTGGGGAGTCAAAGAGTTTGCAGTCCAAGTGTATTGGGCACAATAGTGTGGAACATCTCCAAAGGTTGGGTGAGTTTGGGCGGCATTTGGTGACCACTAAGGTGCGGTTTTTTTTGCCCGTGTTGGTGCTTGATGTTTGGTGAGGTAGATCCTGATCCCGTCTTTGCTGGCAGTTGATCCGTGACATGTCGGGTTCTTGGACCCCTGAGTGAGTGTGTGCGTTGGCTAGCTGGTGCGTGCTAGGACATGTCGCGATGTTTGGGTCGCCCACAAAAACTCTGCATGATTTTCCTGGTGAGCCGCCACTTGGAGCGACCACGGGAGTCGCCGATAGAACAATCATGGTTACGTGGACACTCTGGCCTCGAACACCATTCTCCTCTACAAACAGGGGATTGTCCACGTCCATGGCGTGTTTCAGGGAGTGTAATCCCTTTTGCGACAGGTGAGCATGATTCCTCGTCCAGTGCTAGATCTAATGGATCAGGGGGACTTCCGAGTGGGAGTAATGAAAACCTGCCCGCCAATGACCGTATAGATGTTTGATGATGTTTGGCTGTGCCATGATGTTGGAACCATGTATTCTTGGTTGGTTGATAGGTGTGGTGTTAACCTGCTTGGTCGATTGATTGAAGTGGATGGGTGGTCTATCCGAGGACAGCAAAGAGGAGGAACGGGCCAGAAGTATCCCAATAAAATCCTGGTTGGATGTAATATTGACAGCAATTTATATAGGACTGCATTGATAAGTTTGTATATGGACCCCCAACCAGATAGAAAAGTAGATCTCCACTAAAAATGTATTGGATACCATTTCTATTCTATCTATTTGGGGGGCCACTATACCTGACCAGTCGTATGTCTGGTGACATCGCAGTACCAACTCGAGAGAGCTTCTTGTGTTTCCAAGGTTAGGCCTTTAAAGAATCACCCGGGGCCGCAGGTGCCTCAAGCTGTGTTCACCATCTCATGATGAACTCTTCTACCCCGAAGACTGTCCAAACACATCATAACCCCCCTAGTTTGAATCAGCACTGGCTCGGGTTGCATTCTTAAAGATATATGATCACAAGAGTACAAAACATGTCTGACCCCTTCTGATGTCTTTTTCGGGGCTTTGACTACTCTGTTGGTTGGATCAACTGGAGGACCAAGGGCCGAAAAAACCGACGCTTTCGGCCGCCCGTGAGTCCGAGGCTCGACTGGACGTCTTCAGCCGGCCAGCTGCTTAATTCGTTTGTGGCACGTGTCTGCGCGTCTGCGGCCCTGCGTTGTTCAAGCACCGAAGTAGAAAAAGGACTAAAACCTTGTAGATAAGACTTATATAGTAGGTTTTCTGATTGGAATAGGGTGAAATAAAGCAAATTGCATCAAATCAAGGTAAGTTGAAAAAACTTATCCTTCAGAACCTTTGGTCTTGCATCCACTGGACATTTTGACTTGGTCTATATATAAATATATAAGTGTAGGTGGTGTTGGCAACAGCTCCGTCTCGTCTCATCTCAGTTCACTTGAGATTTGGGAAAATCGGCCACGACGACCATTCTCTCGTGGCGCCTGAAGGAGGGAAGCTTAGGGCCTAAAGGGGCTTTCAGAAAAAAAGAACTTTCGACGAGGAGGCGCTTTAGGCTCTCGTCATTATCCTGGTGCTGACCATGGCTGGACTGCAGGCGTGCTAATTCCAGTAGGAGCTGTACTTACAGAATCCCTATCAAGACAATTCAGCATAGAACCTGGTCCATGTTCAAACATTTGTCTTCGCCCGCAGGTTCAGAGTGTTGGTTGTGCGCCATATTCTGCGTGTTTTGAGCTCCAAACAGCGGGGGTACCGGGTACTGAACCACGTCCGCTCGTTGAGCCAATCCACTGGGGAGGATTTCTCCCGGTCGGTGTTCAGAGCGTTTTCAGAGCATCTTCAGAGGTTCATATCTTCTTACATGTCAAGAAGGATCCGTTGAAATCGAACAAAATAGATTCAAATAGATTGATGGGTATTTGAAGCCACAGATGAATATATATGTATATGTATATATATGTATGTATATATATATATATGTATATAGTTGTAGACCTGTGATCAATGGGACCAGTTGATTGCAGCGGCGCATCGCGCATGATTCTGTCGGTCAGTTGCCATAATTCGACGATAAAGTTTCAGCTGTAAACACAGCTTGATGATCACGGAGGATTGTTCAGGTGTGCATGCTGATGAACATGTTGCCATTAGCCCTAGTACTTTTGTATAATCTCTCAAGCCTACTACTAGGAACAAGGATGCTACTAGTAGCAAGAGGGGCATCGCTACTAGGAGCAAGAAGCTACTAGTAACAAGGGCATCGCTCCTAGTAACAAGGGCATTACCTACTAGCCAATAGCCACTGTCTTTAGCTTCCAGGCTTCACACCTCAGTCGCGGAAACGAAGGGAAGAGGAAGCACGTCCCACCTCAGTGGTCGAGACCGCATGTCCCACCGGTGGCGTTTGTTCATGCAAAACCAGCGGTGTCGACACCCCGTTCACTGCGTTTTGACCCAGTTCCTGACATTTCTGCATGAAGATTGGGTAACCTCCAAGGCTCCAGTTTGCACTTCACCCGCAAGGACTGATATGTGATACATTGTGAGACTCCTTTGTTGAATCTCATCACCTCTGGCAATTTGCAGGTCCTCATGTCACGCAACTGTTCTTGGGTGGGAGCGTAAAAAAGGAACACACGTAGACATTCTCTGAACCGGTCCTTAGGGAAACCCTAAACCCTCAATCCATCCAAAAGCACCGTAAAGTTCGAAGCTGAGAAAACCGACGGCTGCTTCTAGACAGCTGAGAAGCCTCGAGCCTAGACCGGAGCGTCCTCCACCGTCGCTCGTGCCGACCCACCGCCTGTGTGGGGTCGGACGACCAGGGGGAAAAGACCGGCTCGAAACTTGGATGGAAAGCTGGTGCGGAAACTAGAGGCGGAACATTCTTGGAGAAGTCCAAGTTCATCCAGCCTTTTTGGGTTGAAGACTCGATGGAAGTTAATCAAAGAGTCAGGACCAGCTTCTATTCATAGGTGATTCAATGGAAGTTGGTGCTGATGTTGCCAGAGGTTTCAGCTGAATCAAGTTTCTGTTGGACCTTGGCTCAATGGAAGAGTTAGAGAACCACAGTTGCACTCTGACCATAGTATTCCAGATTTGTCGGATTTCTCCACAAACATGCATTGCTGCAACGAACGGTCCTGCACTTGGAGGTCAAATCACTCCGGTTTACAACCTGACGATTTAAGACCAAATGTCAGTTCACTTGGTCAAAATGGTTCACCATGCCTGAACACCTGCTTCGCAAAAGCCCACCAACTATATATTCCCTATACAAAAAAGAGTCGAGTGTTCTCATGACTCTCACGTAGTGCCCAGGGTGCTACCGTTTCCCAATCTTTAGGTTCTATCATTCGACCAGTCTACCACTGCCTTGCAGTGCAGCCCCTTCAAGCAGTGCAGCCCCGTTTTTAGTGGAGAAGTGGCGCCGCAGTTTTTCACAGCGGACACCGTCCATCGGATTGGGCGTGAGCCGCGCTGTGGATTTGCAGCGTGGATCGCGCCATCGCAGGTTGTGCATCGCGGTGTGCTTCTTCTTTTGGCAGCGAGCGGCGCTTTGGCTTGCAGGGAATGGTGGTACAGGAGAGTTCGACGATTTTTGGTAATAAAGAGTTGTCATCAGGACGATGTACCCGAGTATTTTGATGTATTATATTTTGGTTGCAGTTCACACCAAAATGGGCACCAAATAGTCAGACCCAAGATTGCCCAGAACGAATGCAGTTCACACCCGGGGGGGTTTTCAAGAGTGCCTCCATGCGCTTCCCAGGTGTTCTACCAAAGTCATGCACCCCAAGGCCTTCTTATACATGTTATACTCCCAAGTGCTAAAGTCCTTGCGATTTCATGTCTTTGGCTTCACTCCGTTGCGATGAGGCTTTTTGAGAAGTCGCTGTCAAACGGTGTCCACTCATTCTATTTAAAAAGTTGTTCCCCAGATAGCGAGAGCTATTGGGGTCCTCACTTCAAGCTTAGGAAAAGGTGCCTGTGTGCACTTTGGAGCCTGGGTGCTGCAGGGTGCCGCTGCCAGATGCCTATGGCAGTCGGCGCTTTGGAGCCTGCTCCGGGTGCCGCTGCAGGGTTCCGCTGCGAGATGTCTATGGCCGTGTGCGCTTTGGAGGGTTCGGTGTGCTGCTGCTGTGTAAGGCCGCGTGCGCATTGGAGTTTGGATGCTGACTTCCAGGGTGCTGCTAGGAGGTGTTTGTAGCCGTGTGCGATTTGGAGCCTGGGTGCTGGTGTCGCAGCAGGGCTTAGTTTTGGCATTTGGAGACTATGCTGGCATAATTTCTTGGTGACTGGTGTTTTGAACACGACTGACGATTGTATCTTCGTGGAAGCTTCGGGCTGCGCTTCCCAACCTATGTTGGGACAGAACGGGGGCAGGGCTCATTTTGCCCCGCATCGCTTATTTCATTTTTTTTTTACATACAAACTTACGGAGCAGCTACGGGAGGGTATTGGTCCAAGAGTGACGAGTGAGAGCAAGTGCTTTTGCTATGGATCAGCTGGGTTCACTTTCGAGCTTGAAAGCAAAGTCGCTAATGCTGCTAATACCAATGCCAACTATGGGTCAAAACATAGAGCTTCTTTGAGCCAGGGTAGGTTGACAGCCACAGTCGTTGTTAGATGTTGTTAGTATTTCGGGGGGGGGGCCAAACATTGACGCTTGCTTTTATTTTTGACTATACGTGAGGTAAGTTATGCCCTCCTTGTAACTTTTAGAAGGTGGGAGAGCTGTTTTCAGGCAGATTGTTGGCTATGCATTCTTTGTTGGACATGGACTCATTCCCAGTGAAGTGATTTGCAAACTTGAAAGGATCCAGTCCCGAAAAGGCTCTCAACAGCTTGGCACGAGCTTTCCCAAGCTCTCGACGTCGAGGCCAGTCACTACGAACTAATGAATCCAGGCGACGGGAAGCTGGGTTGGATGGGAAGGATTGGTTCAAAGAACGACCTGGCTGGGCCTGGCTACGTTTAAATGGAAGTTATGAACAGCCATGGACTCGTTACAATAAGGACTCCTGTAGCCAGGGAGCCCAGCAAAGGTGAGATTGTTTCGTAAAGCATCAACCCTGGGACATGAACAACCCAAATCCTGTGGTGGATCGCCTCAGCTCCCAGAAACCGGCCGGTGAAAAGAGGGTTAACTTGAGTAGTGCAGTCAACGATTGTGCGTGTTTTCTGACTTGAACGTCTCCCCTAGGATTGGAGGAGTGTTCATGCGCAAACCGATGGGTCGTCACCACTCATAAACCACTGGGTGCCGGTCGACGTCACCTGCCTTATGGTGCAACTGATGCGTCGGCTGCAAACAGCCCTACACTCCAGTCGTTTGCGAAGATGATATCCTTTGAGCCCGAAGGGATACACAACAACAAAATAGGTGGTTTTCCTGGAAACGGGACCTGGAGTCACAACCAACCGATTTCTTCCAGGGTGTGGAAGTACAGTGCTTGAACAGGAAGTGCCGAGATGGGAGCCGAACTGAAGTAGACCCGAAAGACAAACAAGCTCACGAATAGAAGCCACATCTTTGAATAGACTGAATAGAAACTCCGCGCAGAAGGTGGGCGGCCCAACAGAGTCTCCCAAGGTGTGCGTTTGCGTACTCAAGGGGATGTCAGAACCCCTTGCCGTTTACCGCAGGTTCACTGGAAACCAGCGTTATATAGCGTTATAACATCCCCCTGCAAGTTTCCCCTACAAAATGGGACGTTTGACCTCTGAAGTAAAGTATATGTTTATAGGAAACTTGTCTGAGAGTGTTTTTTTTGTGTGGTTGCATTTTGTAGCGGTGTAATCTGAGTGTACCCACAGCATTTTGATTTGCAAACTTTTGATTTTGTCGACATATGCGGGCATTCCTATTTAAGGTGGTTCCATGCATGCCGGAATCCATTTTGTAGAAAAGATTGCATTGTGTGGAGAAACATGTGCAGGAGGGATCTGGGGAAGGATGAAGGATAGACCGTGACACAGACCTCAAAACAGCTGATCAAAAAGGCTGCCTCTACAAAATGGCTATCTCTATATCTACAAAATGGGTCTCATGCATTGTCATTTCCCAACCAGATCTCTATCCATGCCCCTTTCGAAGCTTCCGCTTTATTTTGTAGAGCGTGTTGTCCCTGACCCAAAATGACCTTGTGCTAG